TCTGAGTGCATAGTTCAATCGCCATGGAGTCAAAGTCTATTACAGTCTTTCGGTATGCAATTGACTCCATGGGAAGGCTATCTGGGTTCAGTCCATTCGTGCGTTTCAAACTCCCGAACGGCCGGTGTTCGTATACTTTTGTCGATTGAGAAGGGAGGTCGGTGGCTTCAGCGGTGTTCGGCGGAAAAAGTGTCCGTTTTCAGTTCCATAGAATCTGGGCCGAACACCGCTGGTCTTTCACTTGTTTAAAATGACCGCCGCCTCGTGGTCGACATACGAACGACGACCACCCTGCATTCGGTTTTAATTGAGAGGTGTCTGCGGTTAACCACAATGTTCTAATTGGGATCAAGAGGTTAACCAGCAGCACACTTCTCTTCTGGGTGGCTGTCCGTTCGGTAGTTTTGTTCGGCAAAAAAGTCAATTAAACGAACAGGGACATACGGACAGGTAATTCCACGAAAAGGCAAAACAGACGAACCAGCAATCCCAGTCTATACAGATGGATCTGTCATAATACCTTTAACTCCCTTCTTTGCCCTGCTGTGGCCACCCCCCAAACTAACCTTACAGCTGATAACTTTGCATGCTACTTTACTGGCAAGATTGAACAGCTAAGGAAAGAATTCTCACCACCTTGCCCCTCTCTTTCTCAACCACACCTAGGTCCTGCCTTTCCTACCCTTTAGACTTTCTTTCAGGTTACTGAACAAGAGATGGCTGCGCTTTTCCTTTACACTCGACCCACCACTTGCCTGCTTGATCCTGTCCCATCTCACCTTATCATATCTCTCTCCTCTTGTCTTGTGCCTTCCTTAACACACATCTTCCACTGCTCTCTCTCTTCTATTGTTGTCCCTGCTGCCCTTAAACATGCTACTATAGTACCCATCTTAAAAAAAAAAATCTCAACTAATCCTCTCCTTCTAACTATTGTGCCATATCCCTGCTCCCTTTTTCCTCAAAGCTTCTGGAAAGACTTGTCTTTACCCGTCTGACTTGCTTCCTCAATTCCAACTCTCTCTTTGACCCTCCTTAGACTGGCTTCCACCCCTTCCACTCTACTAAGCCTGCTCTTATTAAAGTCACTAACGACCTAATCACAGCTAAATCCAAAGGGCACTAATCTATACTAATTATTCTTGACCTCTCTGCTGCCTTGACACTGTTGACCATGTTCTCCTTCTCCAAACTCTTCAATCAATCGGACTCTGTGACACTGTCCTCTCTTGGTTTTCCTCCTATCTCTCCCAACGCTCATTCAGTGTCTCCTTTTCTAATGCTACCTCCTCCATTCGTCCTGTCTCTGTTGGAGTCCCCAATACTTGATCCCCTTCTATTTTCTCTTTATACTGCCTCTCTTGGCAAACTTATTATCTAATTTGGATACCAACACCACCTGTATGCTGATGACACCCAAATATATCTCTCCTCCCCAGACCTCTCCCCTGTCATCCTGCACAGTGTCACTGCTTGCCTTTCTTCCATCCCTGACTGGATGTCCTACCGCTTTTTAAAACTCAGTCTCTCTAAAACTGAACTCCTTGCCTTTCCTCCTCCTAATACTGATCCCCCTCTTTCGCTCTCCCTTCAATTGAGTGGTACCCACATAAGTCTATCCTTGCAAGCGTGCTGTCTTGGCGTTATACTTGATTCTGGCCTCACATTTGAGCCTCAGATCCAGTCTGTTACCAAATCCTCTAGATTCCACCTTAAGAACATAACCCGCACCTGCCCCTTACTTACTCAAGATGCTACTAAGGAGCTTGTCCATGCTCTAGTAATCTCTCGCATGGATTATTGTAATTCTCTCCTAATAGGTCTTTTCACAAGTTGTATTGCCCTGCTGCAGTCTGTAAGAAATGCTGCAGCTAAACTGATTTTCCTCTCCTGTCGTTCCTCTAACACCTCTCTCCTCTGTCAGACCTTACATTGGCTTCCTGTATACTATAGGAGTCAATTCAACGTACTAATCCACACCTATAAGCACTAACCAATTGCACCTAATATATTTCTTCACTGATC